ATTGCAGAAGTTAGTACTGCAAACAATCATCTAATAAAAGACGAGAAAACTGTCCTAAGCAGTCGTGGATGCTTAGAAACTCAACGAACAGAATTTAAAAGATTCCTGAGCAAAATCTAGGTAGTTTGACGAGCACGTGGGTAGTTCAATCCCCAATCAACAGACAGTATGAAACAGATGGCTCAAAGGGTTATCCAGGGGGCCTGCAATCTAATCGATGGCCCCTAAAGACATCGGTGGGTTATTGTACGGGATCACAAAATACTTGGTGGACACAGGAAATCAGCCCTCCTAATAGTGATTGTTGTTAGCACCCAGAAGATGATGTTCGCACGCGCGAAGGGGATGAACAATCCGAAAAGGGATTACAAGCGGAAGAGGAAGGAACTCAACCAGCAATAAGAAGAAGACAAGGACAATGTGCTGGAGAAAAGCTGATATTAGCTGATGAAAACGGATCCGTGGGGCTTGCCCTTACAACATTGTTATGAGTAAATTGAAATGGGAGGTGGGGAATACTCTGCTCTTAATGATAAATGGTGGTTGAAAAAATAATTAGACATCTATTTTCCAAACACACAGAAAGGAATGGGAACAGCTATGACAAAGGGGGAGAGGGCAAACATGTTTACGAACCCATGGCAAGAAGTTGGTAAATGCCTAAAAGCAGGCCAAGGCAGGTACACCAAACGATGTACTGAAAGTATTTCATCACTGAGTATCCAGACCTTCTGTTGACACTCTTCAAATGAGTGTGGACATATTCAGGCTTTGCCAAAGACTGGAAGGCTTGTACCAACTTAGGAAGGGACATTAATCCACATGATAGTGCATCCAATCGTATAAGCCCATCTGCCTTCTGGGAATACCACAGAAACGCTAGGAGACTTGATTCTTCAGCACATGGAGAAGCACAATGATGGCAGAGCAAGCTGGCTCATAACTGGTACAGTTCTGTAAAGGCAGATCGATGCTGGTCAGGCAAGCAGTCAAACCGGCAAGAATGGCAAGAGAAAGTAAGTGGTCAGGAGAAAGGCTTTGCGTCCTGAATAGCAATAGATATTCGAAACGCATTCAACTCCCATGGGATGGAAATATGTACAAAAGACATTAGAAAGACGGGATAATCCCAGTCTATCCTGAAAATCTTAATCGGTGACTAACCTAAGTTAAGAGCAGCATTATATATGAGGGAGGTAAATTGAGAATTAAAGAAAAAATGATTGTTGTTGTTGTGTTTGTTGTTGTTAGTGTAGTGAAGTGTTAGATAAATTAGAAGCCATTTTAGAGATAACTGAAACTTATAGAACTAAGAATATCAACCTTTAATTCTAATTGTTTAATTTTAATATAGTTTTGTAAGTGTTTCTTAATTCCAATTGTTATCCATGTTTGCCACTGAGCATTAGCTCAAAGCAAACTTAAATAAATCTTATCTATTCAATAAAGAATTCAAATAAATCAATTGATGTTGTTCCCTGCATTAATTGGAAAACCAAATTCTATTTCTGCAACATTATTTTTGCCAAATAATGGGTGATTTATAAAGAAAAATCATATATAGCAAGTTAAACTTTGGTTGGAATTCGATATCTATTTATTATCTTCTTTTAGGTTTTACTCCTTAAGAATTTTTTTCAACTTCAAACCACTAATCTTTGTCTTATTCAAAGCATTCACAACATCTCCTCTACTGGTCAATTAGATAGAGGACTTCTTGTGGCAAAATATCTGTCTTCTCTTCTTTTGGCGAACTTCCTTGTACCACTAGTCACACTACCACTGAATAAATGTAGCATAAAAATTTCTCAATGTTTTTTCAAATAATTGCAACCTATTGCACTCTCTGTGTAAGTGCAACCCAGCTTGGGACATTGTATGTTCAAAATTCAAACAAATTTGATTAAAGTTAAACTTGATGTTTCTTTGTTGTTTTTTTTAACTGTGTGCATGTATCTAATAGCAAAAACAACCCACGTATTCCCCCCCATTAAGACTTATATTTCAAAGTAATTCGACATTAAAAATTGCGAAGTAGCACACGCAACTGGACATATGTACAATGGTAGTATTCCTTTATTAAAGAAACTATAAAAAATCAAACAAGATTAGCTTTTTAAACCTTTTTTTAAGTTTGCAAAATAATTTTAAAATTGAAATTTTTATTATAATTTGAGGTTTAATTAAGTTTTGATATTTAACAATTAAATCAAATTATAAATAGTCATAAATTACTGTGTTTGAAGCTTTTATTTGTAGACATCTCAAGTTCTGTACTATTAATGGAAGGAGAAATAAG